GTGTAGAAACCCTGAGTCTGGCCCACAGAGAAGACGACACAAACACTGTGTAGAAACCCTGAGTCTGGCCCACAGAGTAGATGACACAAACACTGTGTAGAAACCCAGAGTCTGGCACAGAGAGTACACAACACAAATACTGTGTAGAAACCCTGAGTCTGGCCCACAGAGTAGACAACACAAACACTGTGTAGAAACCCTGAGTCTGGCCCACAGGGTAGACAACACAAACTGTGTAGAAACCCTGAGTCTGGCCTAGAGAGTAGACGACACAAACACTGTGTAGAAACCCAGAGTCTGGCCCACAGAGCAGATGATACTTTGGTAGCATGACCTCACACTAAATCTTCCTGAGGAATAGTTAACACACTGTGATATGTGATGTACATAATACGAAAAATATTGAAAAACAACAACCACACAGCATATACATTATAGAAACTTAACAGATGTGTAAACACCTAGACTACACATTAAACCCAAATGAATGTAAACCTAACAGGCTCTGGTAAATACCTAGACAATATGTCAGACCCAACCCAACAGAATTTAATACACTATGGTAAATATAAATACCTGAACTACATGTTAAACTCAATCCAACATAAACCTAACAGACTCCACTAAATACCTTGACTACATGTTAAACTCAATCCAACATAAACCTAACAGACTCCACTAAATACCTTGACTACATGTTAAATTCAACCCAATATAAACCTAACAGACTCTGGTGAATACCTGGACTACATGTTAAACTCAATCCAATATAAACCTAACAGACTCTAGTGAATACTTGAACTGCATGTGAAACTCAACCCAATAGCGTCCAAACGAGTATTGTATAAATTAGCTATGAATACTAAAGAAGACATCTAAGGACAATAAGTACAGTTGGTGGTTGAAGATCAAACAAGAATTAATATACAGATAGGTTACCCTCAGTTGTTTTATAGGAATACAAGTAATTCTTAAAAATCAATCAGAAACAACAATATCACCAAAAAACACCATATAATATTCCATGTGAATGTGGACAACACTCCATATAATATTCCATGTGAATGTGAACAACACTCCATATAATATTCCACGTGAATGTGGACAACACACTATATAATATTTCACATGAATGTGGACAACACTCCATATAATATTCCACGTGAATGTGGACAACACACTATAATATTTCACATGAATGTGGACAACAGTCCATATAATATTCAACATTAATGTGGACAACACTCCATATAATATTCCACGTGAATGTGGACAACACTCCAAATAATATTCCACGTGAATGTGGACAACACTCCAAATAATATTCCACGTGAATGTGGACAACACTCCATATAATATTCCATGTCAATGTGGACAACACTTCATATAATATTCCACGTGAATGTGGACAACACACTATATAATATTCCACGTGAATGTGGACAACACATCATATAATATTCCATGTGAATGTGGACAACACACTATATAATATTCCACGTGAATGTGGACAACACTCCATATAGTATCCCACGTGAATATTCAACGTGTGGACAGTGGCTTTACATACTAGATAAGGTCAAACAGGAAACTCATAATAAAGATATGTAATATAGATATTCTAGATCCAATAAACCTCAACACCCACTTGGCCTGCCCACCCAGAAAGAAATATAACTTCAGTCAACATAGGATAGCGGGTAACATTGGCAGGCAAGCAAGTTTGCTTCCAATCACAAGGGTTAACAATTCTGAAGATGTAATACGTTAAGTAATGAAAATATAAGGCTTTAGTTAAGGATATCATATTCTACTTCTGCAACATGGTATTTAACATTCTAATCTAGTAGAAATATAACTGTTCGGTTTGTTGATTTCCAGGAAATGGACTGGGAATGAAAATAGCTGGAGGAAGAGAAATTCCTGGAAGTAATGGAATGATAGGAGCATTTATTGTGGAAGTATCTCCAGGGGGAGTAGTGGAAACATTAGGAGAGGTACAAGAAGGTAAGATAACTAAGGTTGACAGTAGGATACATACTGATGTTTAACATATACTAACATCTGACAGTAAAAGGTGGTGCCTAGAGTGAAACATACTGGTGTTTAACATATACTAACATCTGACAGTAAAAAGTGGTGCCTAGAGTGAAACATACTGGTGTTTAACATATACTAACATCTGACAGTAAAAGGTGGTGCCTAGAGTGAAACATACTGGTATTTAACATATACTAACATCTGACAGTAAAAGGTGGTGCCTAGAGTGAAACACACTGGTGTTTAACCTACACTAACATCTGACAGTAAAAAGTAGTGCCTAGAGTGAAACATACTGGTGTTTAACATAAACTAACATCTGACAGTAAAAAGTGGTGCCTAGAGTGAAACATACTGGTGTTTAACATACATTAACATCTGACAGTAAAAGGTGGTGCCTAGAGTGAAACATACTGGTGTTTAACATACACTAACATCTGACACTAAAAGGTGGTGCCTAGAGTGATACACACTGGTGGTTCTTTCAGTTAACAAAAGAGCATTAACAATCACAGTTGTCAAAACTATTAACTGTTAATATACATGATTAACAATTACTGTACATGATTAGAATGTCTATGTAATTAGAAGGGGTATTTACATATTCCCATGACAGATTAGTTTAAGACAAAATAACTTTCTTATACATTATACGTTTAAATAATGGTCGTATTAAATATGCTTTACTGCACGTATTGTTAAAACCATTCCTATACGTATGGTCTATTAAACACATTAGTAAATATGGTCTATAAAAACGTTACTGATATTATTAAACCTTTACTGCATTTGGTCCATTTATTGGCAGCACATCAAATATAGATTTATTTGATTTCTGAAAGCTGTGACCACTAGGTTTAGGTTTTGTTTTTAACTGTGCTGGTAATTCATATTGGATTAAAAATGCTCACACCAAGACAGATAAGATCAGAAGACATCTTGATAATTCCTTATTCACACAATGTATTTGATAGATGAGAGTTTGTCCTAACTGATAACGCCAATTGTCCTTGTTACAGCTTCTGTTTGTGGTAGGGATGTATCGGTAATGACTTTGTTGCAGAACTGGTCGTTAAATCTTAGTTTAATGGTGAATATCAACCCTTCTAGGTGATCTGGTTTTGGAATGGAATGGCATCCCTCTAACGGGAAGAACATACGATGATGTTCAGCGTATTACAAAATCGACAAGGGAGGAAGTGGAAATTGTAATTCAAAGGTAATTGCCCCAAGGATTTTTCACTTTCCAGAGTAGCAGTTGTAACAAGTGTTACATCGTAAGTTTTCAGTAGCGTATTAAGGTGTTAGTATAGACATGTTGAATCGTCTGTAGCCAAGATTTTTAAGTGATAGACTTCGACTTTTTCAATAGGTTTTTCGTTACTACGATCATAGTAGCAGTTAACTTATCATAATTAATCATGTATTTTATATAAATGATAATAAAATGATTGGTTAAACTGCATCCACTAAATAAAAATGATTGGTTGAATTGAATCTACCAAATAAGCGTGATTGGTTAAATTGTATTAACCAAATGTGCAGTTGGTGGTTGATTTCTAAATAACATCTTGGAATCCACGAAGTAATTTTGGGGAAGTTGATATCCTTAAAAATACCTCCCAACAAACATAACCACTAATTTATTGAAAATTTCAAAGAGAATAACCAGTAATAATGTAATGTGAACACTGAAAGTTGACCAGTAATAAGGTAATGAGATCAGTGAAAGTTGACCAGTAATAAGGTAATGTGAACAGTGAAAGTTGACCAGTAATAAGGTAAAGTGAACACTGAAAGTTGACCAGTAATAAGGTAATGTGAACACTGAAAGTTGACCAGTAATAAGGTAATGAGATCAGTGAAAGTTGACCAGTAATAAGGTAATGTGAACAGTGAAAGTTGACCAGTAATAAGGTAATGTGAACAGTGAAAGTTGACCAGT